CAGTTACGAAAACTACGAGTCCATATACATTATTTTTGATATGAGTGGGCTTCTTGTACATAAGGTTCTACAACTTGCTTTTTCTCCCCTTAACAAAATGTCTTGAACACAGTTTCCTATTGTAAACACAGTTCTACTTCCCTCTTCCTAATTGCTGCATAGTATTCCATGGCATGGATGTACCCTAGAGAAAAGGTGTTTCCAGTTTTCCGCTATTACAAACAATGCTGCCATTCACAACTTTTCCAAAAGCTCCGCAGATCTTCTTCCTACGGCAGAGTTGGAAAGTTTCTTCCGGAAGAACCCATGTGATGAATCCCGCGAAAGCACTAACCAACTGCCAATCCAACAGTAGCTGCTTATGCTTAGGCAACAATTTGTTATTATTCCGCCTACTCCCCCCACCCCCCTGGATTTTATTGTCTTGCGAGAAAAGCAGCTGCCTCAGGTCCTGGCTAGTGGGTTAAACAGACCCCAAACGTGGAACCTTCAGCCACAGAAAACGAGCCTGTGTCTTAAAGGCATATTCCTTCCTCTGGGAGTTGTAGTTTTGCTGGGCAACGGAACCACCTTCTCGCCTCACCTCCCATCTAGATCTGAAGACTCGCCCTTTAGGAAAGCGCTGCCCTAACCAGATTTGCGTACCTGTGCAACAAATAGCTCGGGGTTAGTTTTTTGGGGGGAGAACAAGCCAGGACCGGCGGAAGGACGAAACTCCATTTCCCAGGGTGCGCCGCGAAGGAACGAGCAGCCACGCCTTAAAGAGCCCACTGCGTCCGACAGAGGCAGATACCTCGGCCCGCGCTGGTCCCGGCCTCGCACACCCCAGTGATCCCACAGTTTTTCGGCCCACGCTCTCGGATCGGTAGGACGGAGCTAGGCCAGTGGCCTCCCTGTTCCCGACAGGGAGGAGTTTCCGGGAACTCTGCCGGCGTCCCTGGGCGCCCACTGTCTATAGGGGGCATCTGCAGGTCCTCCTCCTCCTCCTTGGCCTGGGTCTTTTCAGTGGGAGCTCCGGGACGTGGCAAGTGCTGGGGCACTTGGGGACACCTGGGACAGGGAGGGATACGGGCCCCAGAGGCCCCTCACCCCTGAGACAAGTGGGACGCTGGATGCCGGCGCTGCTGACTTTGCTTTGAGGCCGCGTCTCCTGCCTCCGTTTACCCGACCTGGGCTAGTCAGTATGCACAAATCTCAATTAGAGGACGTCTGTATAATTTGCAAAGTGGTTTTATTACTAGTCAACTTCTTTCTGCCTTTTTATTTTCTAGAAGGCAAATTAGATCCCTTCATAAGACCGTCCCCCCCCCCCCCCCCCCCCCCGCCCCGACTCCCCCCCTCCCCCACCTTTAAAGTTCTAAAATGCAAAATCCCTGTTCCACCTATCTTCAAAAAGCATAACTGGAAGAGGTTATTCTGTCCCTGGCTCCCCTTCCTTATCCAATTTTGGAATGAGGAAAACTGGCTGAAGACATTAAACTTGGCCTTAATAGATGAAGTTTTATCACAGTGGGCAGAATATTGGAATAGAGGTCTAAGTTTTCTGTAAATGTTAAGTATGGCAGAGGGCATAGACTCTAGACTCCAGGAGAGATGTCTTGTTTTCGACAGGGTGGTTAAGAACATGAACCTTGGTGTTGGACACACCTGGCCTGCCTGTGCTATTGGTGTATGGCTTTGAGCCGGCTATTCTTGTCTTTCAGCTAGTTTCCTTATCTCTGTCACGGGTGTGGTAAGATGCAATTCAGAGGGCTATTGAGTGAGTCACGTGAGCTGATTCTGCAATGCCTTTGGCCTTGGTCCCTAAAAAAAAAAGTTGATGTGTTATCATAAAATACTCTTTTGGCTGATCTGGCAAGGCACGCTCCTCCGCCTGGCTTGATTTCCCTAGGCCCTCCCTGGTCTTTACTTCTTCATGGGCATCTTTGACTAGGAGATTATTTCAGAGCCATCACTCCCACCTGCCACCAGCTTCAGGGTCAAGTTAAACTGCTGTTTCCTTTCCCTGCTGGAGAGAACTACCCCTTCAGCGTGCCACTTCTTTTACATTTTATTTAATACCGGTAACATTCCTAGGAGGTTGGTATCTTTGGCTTACAAAGGTTAGGTAACCTGCTCAAATCACACAGGAAGAGACACAGTTGGGAACAGAGCCCTGAGGGCTGATTCCCAGTCCTAGAAGGCTCTTCTGCCTAGTAGAGTGCAGTCCAGATAGGGCTACCCTCCTCCCTCTGGCCATGATCTGTCACCTGTCCGTGTCTCCCAGTCATTATGCTGAGACCAACACGGGGCTCAGACTTCCTGGGTCATTGGACTCTCCTTGGGGCGTTTCTTCCTTGCTCTCTTTCAGCCCCTTTGCTTGGGACCAAATATCATTACCACCATCACCTGCATATAAATTGGAGCAACCCAGGCTCCAATCGTGGCTGCAGCATCCATTAGCCTCTGTAAAGTGGAAGTGATAATAATTATCCTGCGGGGATGTTGTGAGAATGAAAAGTCATAATGTCTTAACCGTGGACCAGAGTGAAGAGCTCAGTCCCAGTGCTTGTTATCATTAACATCCTCCTCATTCCATTATCACCTTGTATTTAGACTTTATCGTAATAGCTAATATACACTGAGCACTTTACTCATATTTACTCCTTTTGTTCTTTCCTTGTCCCTACAAAGTGGGTTCAGTGTAGTGTTTAAGAGAATGGACTCTGGAGAAAGTATCAGGTTCAAATTTGGCTGTGCTACTTGCTAGCCGTGTGACCTTGGACAGGTTACTTCATCTCTCTTTGCCTCAGTTCCTTAATCTTTGAGGATAGAGTGTACTTGCCTGACATTAAGTTAGAAGTTCTTACGGTGATTTTTTTTTTCCTTTGAGAGAGATGATATTATATTCCCCATGTTGGTTCAGGTCCTTGGAGAAGCAGAGACCGCAATGGGACTAGACTTACAAGAGATTTATTGGGGAAGGGCACAAAGGGGAGGTAGCTAGAGGATGCAGGGAGAGCTGTTAGGCTGCTTCGTGTGAAGAAGCACCAGAAGGGAGGAAGGGAGGACAGGAGGGAGGGAGGAAGGAAGGAAGGAAGGAAAGAAGGAAGGAAGGACGGATGGACAGACAGAGGGAGGGGCAGGGTTGGAAGGATCTCTGATTGCCTTGCAGTGTCTGTCGGATTGATGGGGACTCCAGGAACTAGGGTTGCCTGTCGGAGGATCCTCATCTTGCAGGAATGAGTCTGTGTTCATGTCCCTGCTGCGCGGAGTCACTGGTTGGGAGCAATTGGTAGGAAGTGTGGCCTCCATGTGAACAAGCTGGGGAGCATTTGTCAGTTCTCCTCTCTGCTGCAGGAGGCCTGCGAGGATTAGGGGTGCCAAAGATCACACAGTGCGTGCCAAGCTGGAATCCCTCGAGGCTCCTTTATTGGAAAGGCCAGATGGACATCTTAGAGAATGCCTTTTCCTCAGGTGGCTGGCCAAGATCTCTACCTCAGATTTCCCTTCTGGATTCCCTCCCGGGCTTAGCAGGGAACAGAGAAATTTCTGTTAGCGGTGGAGGCTTTCCCTGAAAGCTGGTGGGAGCGTGTCAAGTGGTGGTGTTTGTCAGCCCTAACCATAGGCTTGAGGGTCTGGTTTACGTAAGAGGGCGCTGTTGCTGTTGGCTCTTAGTTGGTGCTTGGGCTGACTAGTGGACACACACTCTGGGCACCCCCATCATTCCCATTCCGAGCTTTGGAGGTTGGAGGCGGGAGGAGGGGATGGGCTGCCTTGTGGGACAGCAGCCGGATCCCTGCCAGAGGTGGATGGCAAGGTACTTTTGAGCACTTGTCTACAGGTAGTCTTGGGTCCTCTGAAGTCAGATTAATTTCCCAACTGGTAGGAGAGGAATTTTGAGGAGGATAGTAGAGGGTGAAGCCATAACTTTGGCTCACCTTCCCCTCTCTTGCTCAGAGTGCCCTGGAGAAAGATGGCTGACCGGTGGGTGGTAGCCCCCTTCTGGCTCGGAGCTTCTGGGGAGGGGGTCTCCTCTGAGGTCCTTGTAGTGGGCACTGTAGGCACCCTGCCCTCTGCCCTTGAACAGGCTGGTGCACCCCTCCCACAGGTGCCCTCTTCTCCAGGGAATTGCCCTTGGCTTCAGGAGCCTGGGAGGCTAGAACCTCCCTCTCTCCCCTCCTCCTAGCTCACAGCCAATAATTGAATGTTGAGGGGCAGCCCTTTGCTTTAAGGTGGGACCCACTGTCAATCCCATCTTGCTTCCCTCACTTCCTCTCCTGAGGAAATCACATGCATCCACACTGACAAAGTCAAATGTAATATAACATAGCAATCCCATTCCCGGGTGTACATTGGCAGAGGTGAAGTCTTATGTTCACACTAAACCTGCATACAACTTTTTTTTTTTTTTTTAAGAGCACGAGCAGGAGAGGGGCAGAGAGAGAGGGAGACAGGATCTGAAGTGGGCTCCACACTGTCAGCAGTGAGCCCGATGCAAGGCTCGACCTCACAAAACTGTGAGACCCATGACCTGAGCCGAAGTCGGATGCTCAACCAACTGAGCCACCCAGGTGCCATACAAATGTTTATAGCGGCTTTGTTCATGATTCCTCAAAGCTGGGGATAGCCCCAAATGTCCTTGGATGGATGGAGAAACAGACCATGGAGGTCACTTCATGCAACGGACTGTTGTTTGGCAAATAAAGAGAAAGGAGCAGTGATATGCACAGTCAACTTAGATGAATCCTAAAGGCATTATGTTGAGTGAAAGAAGCCAATCTCAAAAGATTACATTCCAGCCATGGCTGTGAAGAACAGAGTGTGGTTGTCAACGGTGAGGGATGGAGGAGGGCGTGACCAAGGGGATAGCATGCCGGAGGTTTTTCTGGGTGTGGAAAGTGGTGGTGGCCACAAGAATCTATACATGTGTTAAAAGTTCATTGAACTATCAATTTCAGGGTAAGATAAATTTTTTGAGATGTCCACACACACCTGTATCTCTGCCGCAGGGAACCCCCTCAAGTTTGGCCAGAATGACGCAGCCGAAGGGGGTTGATTGGACGGTCATCATCCTGACGTGCCAGTACAAGGATAATGTCCAGGTCTTCCAGAGAGGTAGGGACCCCCTCCTTCCCACTTTACCCCTGATGGAGAACCCCCACGATACCTCCACAGCCTCAGGAGCCAGGAAACCTGGGTTTAGGCCCAGATTCTGCTGCTTTCTAGCCATGAGACCTCAAGACACATCGTATCATTTCACTGAGACTCAAGTGTTTTCATCTGTTAAATGGGATTGGTTGTACTTACCTCACAGAGTTGGGCGAAGATCTAAGGAGCTACTCCATGAAAAGCTACTGAGTGCTCGCTCTGGCAGCACAGGTACTGAAAATAGAACCACACAGAGAAGGTCAGCATGACCGCTGCTCAAGGGTACCGTGCAAATTTGTGAAGATTCCATATTTTTTACGAATATCAAATCATTGTGTTGCACGGCTGAAACAAATGTATGTCAATTATACCTCAATTAAAAAGAAGCCCCTAGGTCAAAGAAAATAAAATAATGGCTATCAGTAGATTTGCTCTAGGTGCTTTGGACCAGGGTGGGGAGGCTGGGGGCCAGTCTCAGCTTGTGCTCTGACCACAGAGCTGGAGGTGCGGCAGAAGCGGGAGCAGATCCCGGCCGGGACACTGTTACTGGCTGTGGAGGACCCTGAGATGCGCGTGGGCAGTGGAGGAGCCACCCTCAATGCCCTGCTGGTGGCTGCGGAACACCTGAGTGCCCGGGCAGGCTTCACCGTGAGTGCTCATGAAGTGCCATCCTCTGGCACATGTCCCGGTCAGAACGGGGATGCGGGCTTCAAACAGATTGTTTCCGAGGTCACATGCTCCTGGGGCTCCATTGCCTGGCCAGTTCAGCATTTGGTATTAGTTTCTGTGCATGTAGTTTGGGTAGATTTATCAGGAGGGGGGAGAAGGCAGGGCCAGGCTTTTTAGCGGTTTTAGAACATCGGAGCCAGTATCTCAGAATTGGGCTTTCTGGCGTCTCTTGAAAACTTCCTGGCTCTCCTTTCCACATGGCATCTCTTTGCTGGAACTGGGATAAGGCTGCCTGCTTTGTGCAGGGCCCAGGGGTCAGTGTTCCCACCAGGTTCACCTTCCAGACACACACAGCCACTTCACTCAGTCACCTGGCCCTCATGGCACCCTGACGTAGGGAGTGAGGGTGGTCATAGGAATGGACATGCTCTGATGATGGAGGTGGCACTGGCAGGGGAGGCCACCACTGTGTGGTTGCCGTGGAGCTTGACTTACTGTGAGTCACCCAGTCAGCCCCACGTCCTTGCTTGTAGCTTTTCCCAAAAAGCAGGGGCAGAGAAGTGGCCCAGGTAGAGGGCCACTAGGCTTCTTTATCCAGGAGGGGCCAGAGCTGCCCCTTGCTTGCCTATGGCCATTGGTCTTGACCTTGTCTTTTCTTCCTTTGGTACCTGAGGGGATTTGTGTTGGGGTCTCTCCCTGGACAAGAGGACAACATCCTTGGGTACCATCTGCCCAAGCTTCTGTCAACGGGGCTCTTCCACTTCTGACAGGTGGTGACATCTGATGTCCTGCACTCGGCCCGGATCCTTATCCTGCACATGGTTAGTAGAGGGCCTTGTAGTTCTTCAGGGGCCATGGAGAAGGCTGGAAGCATCAATCCTCGGGGTTAGAAAGTTGTTCTACCATTGTGTGTGTGCAAGGTGTTCCTTGTGCAGATACAGAAGAATCAGAATCGGAATTGATCCAAATGTCCAGAAATAGGGAACTGGCTGAATATAAGCAGTATATCCTCCTGGTGGAATGTTAGACAATGATTTAAAAGTCCAGCTGGGGCGTCTGGGTGGCTCAGTCGGTTAAGCATCTGACTCGTGATTTTGGCTCAGGTCGTGATCGTGAGGTTCATGGAATTGAGCCTTGTATTGGCTCTGCTCTGACAACACAGAGCTTGCTTGGGATTCTCTCTTTCCCTGTCTCTGCCCTTCCCCCACTTGCGTGTGTGTGCGCGCATGCTCTGTCTCTCTCAAAATAAATAAACTAAAAAAAAAAAAAAAATTCCAGCTAACTCTACACATTTACCTGGAAAGAGACTTACTAGCTCTGTGACCTTGGACAAATCACTTGACCCTTTCTTTCTAGGTCTTACCTTCCTCATCTGTAAAATGAAGATGGCAACAGTTTGTACTTTGTGTGGATGTGCTGAGATGATCCATGTAAATGCTGAAATGGGGCCTGGCCTGGCTCACTGTGATCATTCAATGGATGTATTTTCATTGTTAAGGGGAAAAGGCCAGCCACACAAGTTTATATAGAATGATCTCAATTTTTTTTTAATGTTTACTTATTTTTGAGAGAGAGACAAAGCATGAACAGGGGAGGGGCAGAGAGAGAGGGAGACACAGAATCTGAAGCAGGCCCCAGGCTCTGAGCTGTCAGCACAGAGCCTGACATGGGGCCCGAACCCACGAACCATGAGATCATGATCTGAGCTGAGGTCGGACACTCAACCAACTGAACCACCCAGGCGCCCTGATCTCAATTTTATAATTGGAATTTTGTGTGTGTGTTTTTAAACTTTCTTCAGCCATTCTTTTCCTTTTTTTTTTTTTTTTTAAGATTTTTTTTTTTAAAGGCCTGAGGAGACTGGAAGTTTTATTTATTTTTTAAAGTTTACTTATTTATTTTGAGAGAGAGAAAAAAAGAGAGAGAATGAGTTGGGGAGGGACAGAGACAGAGGGAGAGAGAAAGTCCCAAGCAGGCTCCGTTCTGTCAGCACGGAACCTGATCTGGGGCTTGAACTCACAAACAATGAGATCATGACCTGAGCCAAAATCAAGTGTCGGATGCTTAACTGACTGAGCCACCCAGGGGCCCCAAGATTTTTTAAAATAATCTCTACACCTAGCGTGAGTCTCTAACACACAGTCCTGAGATCAAGAGTCGCAGGCTCCACTGACTGAGCCAGCCAAGACCCCTTTAATTGGAATTTTGATGAAGATGAATGTCAATCCACATGCAAGAAATAATACAGAGAGAGAAGCCTTTGTAAACTTTGCCCATATCCCCCCAGTGGTAACAAATTCAACAGCTATAGTGTAACCACAGTCAGATATTGACATTGATACAATTCCCAAACTTTTCCCTTAGTTTTACTTGTAGTGTGTGTGTGTGTATGTATTAGTTACTGTTGTCTCTCCACCTTCTCATGATCTCATTGAAAAAAATTAAAGAAAAGTCTAAAAGGATGTACCTCAAAATGAGGGCAATGGCTGTCATCCCTGAGGAACTGTTTTCTTTGGGCACATCTGCATTTTCTAATTTTTCACCATAATCATATAATTGAAAACATTTTAAGAAAAAAATAAAACAAGAAAACGCTTTTTAAGTTACTGATTTATTAGGTAGGCTCCATGCCCAACACTCGAACTCACGACTCGGAAATCAAGAGTTGCGTGCTCCACTGACTAAGCCAGCCAGGCACCCCGAGAAAACACATTTTTAAAAGTCTTCTAGGTTGATGGCTTCCTGCCTTTGCACAGCTGATAGGCTGTCCCCAGGCTCTCTGCCCCAAGGGTTCTTTTCCTGTCCGTGCTCCCTCCTTAGGGCCGAGACTTCCCTTTTGACGACTGTGGCAGGGCCTTCACCTGCCTCCCTGTGGAGAACCCCCAGGCTCCGGTGGAGGCTGTGGTCTGCAACCTGGACTGCTTGCTGGACACCATGAGCCATCGGGTAAGGCTGGCCATAACCACAGGGCCTCATCCCAGAGACAGCCACACCCCTCCCACTGCACCAGCAGCTGTATATTCTGTGCTGGCGCAGACAGGAGACGCCAGGAAGAAAGGCTTTGGAGGTGCCCAGAGTTAGAGCTTCTGAAGGTTAGTCTTGGCCACATTGGTGGGGAGGTGTGGCCCTCAGAGGATGGGGGAGGGTTGGCATCAGCGCCATGGGTCAGGGGAGGCCCTGTTACCTCGGCAGACAGGATCTTTCTGGACAGGATGGCTGCTGGAGTGCATAGAACAGGCCAAGACTGGGCTGTGTGGGAGCAGAGGAAGGGTTGGTCCAGGCCACCAGCTGCATTCTGTCTCTCTCCACAGCTGGGCCCAGGCTCCCCACCGGGTGTGTGGGTTTGCAGCACCGACATGCTCCTGTCTGTTCCTCCAAACCCAGGTGAGTCTGAGAAGCCTTGGGACCGCCTTCCCTGGCCACAGCCAGATACCTTTCTTCACTTGGTCTCTGGGCCTGGCCTGATGCCCTGTTCAGAAAGGAAACTGTAGGGTGTGGAGAATGAAGCCCAGACCGAGTTAGGGCTTCCCCTTCTGGGCCTCAGTCTTCTTGGCTGTAGGATGGAGACACCCAGCCCTGCCCCTTCTGCCCTGCAGGGCTCTGTGGAAGAATTTGGGGAGGGGAGGTATTGTCATTCTCCCAGAGGAATTGAATGCCCATTTGGCTTTGGAAACGATATTCCCTTTAGAGTTGTCTGGATGCCCCTGCCCTGTGCTCTTGCCTCCACCTGGTTGGAGACCCCTGTCTTGGGTTGAGGCCCCTGGGGGAACCTCCTAACTGCCCCATTCACAGGGATCAGCTGGGACAACTTCCGGGGAGCAAAAGTGATTGCCCTTCCAGGGAACCCAGCCTATGCCCGGAACCATGGCGTTTACCTCACTGACTCCCAGGTAGGGCCCCTGGGGCAGCTGTGTGGGCAGCTTGACCATCTGGGTTGGCCTCCTGGTCCTATGCTTGGGGAATCCTCTCATCCTGGACTTTCTAGCCTGGTCTGGATTTGGAGGAGGTCCCCTCTGAACAGCCCTTGTGCTCACTTAGTCTTTTGCCAAACATGAATTGCACACCGACCCTGTGCTAGGGTCTGTGCTCGAGGCTGTGAAAACATGCAAAACCTGCCCTCTACCATCAGGGGTGGGAGTCTTCAGTGCTCGTGTCCTTGGGAGCACCCCGGTACCTGTCAGACTTCTGTCCTAGGTTTTCGTTTGGAGAACACCTTGCGGTGCCCTCCTTGCTGGTCCTTTCTTGCTCCTTTCCCTAACTCTGTTTTCTCCCCACATAGGGCTTCGTTTTGGACATTTACTACCAGGGCACCGAGGCAGAGATACAACAATGTGCCAGGCCGGATGGGCGGGTGCCACTGGTACAGCTGCCAGACCCATGCTAGGTTCTTTGGAGACCTTATGGGACGAGGAAGGGAGGGTTTGCCTATCTGCACTCCTTCTGGAAGATTCTGGGGCAGGCTAGAACCAGGATCCAAGTAAGGTCTAGAACTGGCATTCAGGGGAGCTGGTGGAGCCAGAATCTGAGGCAGGTGTGGCAGAAAGGCTGGAACCAGCCTGTGAGTAATTTCAGGAACGCATTTGGGAGGAAGTCTAGAATCTGATTTGGGGGATCCTTCTAGAATGAAAGGCAAGGATAGGAACATTGGGTAAGGGTCTGGGACTGGACCTTGATGAAGATGGGGAACTATTTCTCATTCTCTGTCTCTAGTTCAGGGAGGCCTGACAATTGGGGTGGGGGTCCCAGAAGGTGGATGTTGAGGGGTCCCTTGGTGGGAGCCCACTCCCATTAAGCCTGGATCCTGGGTGCTGGAGTGGCCCAAAGACAAAAGACCCTGCCTGGTATGGCAGCCAGCCTTACTTGGCCCATCTGCATGAGTCCTTCCCATTTCAGGGCCCAGGCTGGCCCCAGAGTCCCACAACCTGACTTGACCTCTCTAGGTCTCAGGGATCGCCTTCTTCTCTGTGGAGACTGCTGAGCACCTCCTGGCCACCCATGTGAGCCCGCCCTTGGATGCCTGCACCTACATGGGCTTAGACTCTGGAGCCCGGCCTGTCCAGGTGACTGGGGGTGTGGGCTGGGGACCCCTGGCCTTGGGTAGAGGCCCTGACACTGGCAGCCTGGTGGTCCCTTTCTTCTCTGGGTCAGTGTCTCTGGGAATGGGACTGCCCCAGCTCAATCTAGGAACCTTCTCAATAGATGTGCTTCCTACCCCTTCCCCAGCTATCTCTCTTTTTCGACATCCTGCTCTGCATGGCCCGGAACGTGAACAGGGAGGACTTCCTGGTGGGGCAGCCTCCAGAGATGGGCCAAGGTGACATGGACATCGGAAGTTACCTGCAGGGTGCCCGGGCTGAACTGTGGAGGGAGCTTCGTGACCAGCCCCTCACCATGGGTGGGTACTACCTCTTGGCTCTCTGGGGAGACCACGGGAGTGAGGACCCCCCCAGGATGAGGCAGCTGCCTGCCTGGCCCCCAGGCTTCTGGACCATGCAGGCCTAGTGCATGCCAGACAATTACCCGCTCCGAATCCAGAGCCTGTAGCCCTCTTCCCTTCTTCCTTTGTCTTGTTCCTGGGCTCCAGTTCCAGTCTTTCTACTTTCTAGCTGTGTGACTTGGACAGGTTGCTGAGTCTCTCTGGATCTCAGCTTCCCCATCGGCACAATGGGCTCATTGCCATGCCTGCCTTCCCCTGGCCTGGTTAAGAGGTGTCTTCGGTGGGAGGCCTGGCCTGGCATCAGAGCTGCAGCAGGCATGGGGTTGGGGTCGGTGCTTGTATCTTTACAGCTTATGTCCCTGATGGCAGCTACAGCTACATGACCAGCTCGGCCAGTGAGTTCTTACACAGCCTCACATTCCCAGGGGCTCCCAGGGCCCAGGTAGTGCACTCCCAGGTGGAGGTAAGACCTGCCTGGAGGGAGGGCCAGCAGAAGTGCCTGCTGGGTGCCTGTGGACAGGTGGGATGGGGGCTCCAGGAAAGGGAAGGAATAGCCCATCCTTGGAATAGAGTAGGTGTAGGTGTTATTATCCCCATTTCACACATGAGGCACTGGAGGCTCAGAGAGGTTAAGTAGCTTGCTTAAATCCACGGAGCCAGTAAGTGGTCATTTCAGGATTCTACATGCAGGTCTGCCTGAGAAACTAGAGAAGACTCCCTTCATGCTTTTCTGTGGGGTCTGCTGGGGGATAAGCACATTTGAGGTGATGGGCCTGGGTCATTCCCATGGGCTGAGAAAAGTGGCAGGGAGAACTCATAGGTGGCCCTCAGGGTGGCAGGGATAGGGGTAGCTGCACAGATGGGAGAGGATTCCTGGGAGAGCTGTCATTTGGTACCTCTGTTACTGAGTTCAGATTTGTACTGGAGGAGAACACAGGCGGAGCACGCTGCTGGGGGAGCCTCTGGAAGAGCGGCATGAACAAGAGGGGATGGGAGTTGGCCTGAGGCTGGGGTCAGGGCAGAGGGATGTGCCTGGCTGTCAGGGCACAGGGAGCAGCAGGCATTCTGGCTGGGGCCTTGGCTGTGGGGGAGCCTGGGTCCTGGGCCCTCACAACATTCTGCTTGGCTTCCCAGGAGCCACAGCTCCTGGGTGCCAAGAGCTCCGTGGTCAGCTGCCTGCTGGAAGGCCCTGTCCAACTGGGTCCTGGGAGTGTCCTGCAGCACTGCCATCTTCAGGTGAGGCCAGGGGCAAGCAGGAGGGCAGCGCTCCAGGGGCCAGGGTCGTGTGTGTGTGTGTGTGTGTGTGTGTGTGTGTGTGTGTAGGTACTTAGGGTTGTGCTAGGATGCATACCTTTTCTCCTATCAGGGCCCTGTTCATATCGGCACTGGCTGCTTGGTGAGTGGCCTGGACACGGCCCAGTGCAAGGCACTGCACGGCTTGGAGCTGCATGACCTCGTCCTGCAGGGACACCACGTGCGGCTGCACGGCGCCCCCAGCCGTGTCTTCACCCTCGTTGGCCGTCTGGACAGCTGGGAGGTTAGGTGTCCACCCTGCCTCCCCGAGGGTCCCAGCCCATCTCCTACAAGTCTCCCTGAACACTGGCCTGAGGGATAGGTGGTGAGGAGGGTGCAGCCAGTTGTCTCAACAGGCCTTCACCACCCTCCTTGTCTGCTCTATGTGGTGGGCTTGGTGGGGTGGCCCGTGTTATAGGCCAGACACTGAGGCACAGGGAGGGTGGTGACCCACCTTGGACCTCAGAGCTGGTTATGATGGATTGGGCCGAGTGCCAGGCACCTGGGCAGGAACATCGAGGCTCCAGGGCTTGACGCTGGTGTCTCAGAATTTCCTTGCATATGTGCTCGTCACTCTTGCTATCCCCTCTGGCCTCAGTGTCCCTAACCCCTTTCCTGCCTCCTCCTCTTCCCCCAGAGACAGGGGACAGGAACGTATCTTAACATGTCCTGGAGTGAATTCTTCCAGAAGACAGGCGTTCGGTAAGGTTAACGGCCCAGATGGGACTCTACAGGCCTAGGCAGCTAGGGCAGGGCATCTGCTTCTCTGAGGCTCACCCCTGCCCTTGCTCCTGCCCCAGAGCAATACCCGGCCCCCTAACCATCCCTGGGGTCCAAGGTAGTTTTGGGCAGCCTGATTTGTCCCACCATCTTTCTGAGCAACTACAGATTGCTGGCTATGCTCAGGGTTTGGGATTTTGTCCAGTGGCCTGGGAAAAGAGGCAAGGCAGCCGGGCCTCTCTCTCTGAGCTGCACACTTGTGCTGCCTCTGGAGGAGTCTGTCCTGTCACCATGAATGAGCCAGCCCCCAGCTGACAGTCAGTCAGGGCTTGGTGATCAGGCAGGAGCCCTTGCTTCCCCCCTGCTAATATGTCTTTCCCCCACATCAGAGACTGGGATCTGTGGGACCCAGACACGCCCCCTGCGGAACGTTGCCTTCTTAGTGCCCGCCTCTTTCCCGTGCTCCACCCCTTGAGGGCCCTGGGACCCCGGGACATGCTGTGGATGCTGGACCCCCAGGAGGATAGGGGCAAGGCCCTGCGGGCCTGGCGAGCCTGCTGGCGTCTGTCCTGGGAGCAGCTGCAGCCGTGCCTGGACCGGGCTGCCACACTGGCCTCCCGCCGGGACCTGTTCTTCCGCCAGGCCCTGCATAAGGCGAGGCATGTGCTGGAGGCTCGGCAGGACCTCAGCCTGTGCCCGCTGATCCGGGCCGCTGTCCGAGAGGGCTGTCCTGGGCCCCTGCTGGCCACGCTGGACCAGGGTGAGTATGCTGGAAAGCCAGTCCCAGCGTCACCTGCCCTACCTGCTCTCTGGATCATCAACCTGAGGGTACTAGGGAGCTGTGAAACTTCAAAGTGGGGGAGAGACACAGTGGAGTGTACTTGTAAGTTTGGGGGGAAGTTTCCTCCCCATCAGTGGGGAATTTGGTGAGAGGCTGAGGCTTGGGGCTGAGCCTCTGGGTCCTATGAGCATCAGCAAACCCAGCAAAGTTTGCACCGGGTTGGGATGTGGTTGGCTCTACCCAGAGGCCCAGGCACACTGGCTGGGGGCTCAGCCGTAGCCTGCTAGGCAACACCTCATTAGCCCCAGTGAAGCTGGTTGATGGTGGGGCTGAGACCGAACCCGGGTGGTTTGACCCTGAAGCCTGAGCTCCTAACCACTGTGGACATTCTGGGTGAGGGGGTGAAGAGGGGGCTGGGGCTGATAGGTTGAGAAGAACCTTGCTTGGCGGAGGAGCAGGGAACATTCATAGGCAAGAATATATCTTGGGTCCAGGTGAAGAGGTGTGAAGGACCTGGAGTGTTTGGGGGACTGCTGAGTAGTCTCTGGGGGCAGAGGGCCCTGGGGGCAGGCCCCCTCCCCTGCCACCCTGACTCCTGGCCGTTCAGTTGCAGCCGGTGCGGAAGACCCTGGGGTGGCGGCCCGGGCTCTCGCCTGTGTGGCGGATGTACTGGGCTGCATGGCAGAGGGCCAGGGAGGCTTACGGAGCGGTCCAGCCGCCAATCCCGAGTGGATGCAGCCCTTCTCATATCTGGAGTGTGGAGACCTGGCGGCTGGGGTGCAGGCACTTGCCCAGGAGCGGGACAAGTGGCTGAGCAGGTGGGTGCTCACAACTTTTGGAGAAGTCCTTGGCCATCCTTGGAGGTGGAAACCCACGGAGAGGTAGGCCCCTCTTACCACGGTTACCTAGGGCAGTCAGGTCCCCAAACCCAGGCAGTCCACCCCCAGCTTGGGGTTCCACGCCACTGTCTCTCCCATCCCTCTTGGCAGGCCAGCGTTGCTAGTGCGAGCTGCCCGCCACTACGAGGGAGCTGGGCAGATTCTGATCCGCCAGGCTGTGATGTCAGCCCAGCACTTTGTCTCCATGGAGGCAGTGGAGCCGCCAGCACCTGGGCGGTGGGTGGTGGCTGAGTGCCCTGCTCGCGTGGATTTCTCCGGTGAGCCCCTTGTGGCGTGGTGGGGTGAGGGTAGCCACCCCAGGGCTGGGCTGGCTGCCCTGTGACTAACTTGGTCTTGTCTAACTGCTGAAGGTGGCTGGAGTGACACGCCACCCCTTGCCTATGAGCTTGGTGGGGCAGTGCTGGGTCTGGCTGTGCGAGTGGATGGCCGCCGGCCCATTGGGGCCAGGGCACGCCGCATCCCAGAGCCTGAGCTGTGGCTGGCAGTGGGGCCTCAGCAGGACAAGATGACCATGAAGACAGTGTGCCGGAACCTAGATGACCTGCAGGATTACTGCCAGCCCCATGCCCCAGGTCAGGGCACCTGTGACATCTGCAGGTGGGAATGGCACGCATGGCCAGCTGAGGGATGGGGGCAGAACCTTGGAGACCCTGCAGGCCATGGAGGCCTGTCCTGAGGGTGAGCCAGTCTGGTGGAGGAGCCCTGAAGTCATCCTGCCCGGGTACATGCAGGCCCAAGGAGGTAGGGCTGGCACATTTGCCTGTGCTGGGGGGACCAGAGGCCCTTTTATGGCTTGGAGATAGGGCCTCCAATACTTCTGGGGTTTTATCTCCCAGTGAGCCCCGTGCTGGGCTGGGCAATAGTGGACGTAGTTTGGGGTATCTGCTTCTACCCTTGAAGATCAAATTCCTTGCTGGTCCTTCCACAGGGGCTCTGCTGAAGGCAACCTTCATCTGTGCGGGGATCGTGCATGTTGGCTCCAAGCTTTCCCTGAGAGAGCAGCTGCTGCACACCTTTGGGGGTGGCTTCGAGCTGCATACCTGGTCTGAGCTGCCCCATGGCTCTGGTCTCGGTGGGTGGGCCCTGTCTCCCTGCTGCCCACCAGTCGCATCCCTAACCTCCAGCCTCGCCTCCGGTCCCCTCCCTGGCCTCTGCCCAGCTGAGGAGTGAGCTGGGCAGAGCTGTTTCATGTCTGGCACTTTCCTCTGCACCCTGCAGGCACTAGCAGCATCCTGGCCGGCGCAGCCCTGGCTGCCTTGCAGAGGGCCGCGGGCCGGGTAGTGGGCACAGAGGCCCTGATCCATGCAGTGCTGCACCTGGAACAGGTGCTCACCACAGGTATGGGACTGCCCTGGGGCAGGAGGGAAGTCATGGACATTTTCCCAAGGGCTTCCAGGGTCTCCCGGGACTTGCAGACAGCCACGTATACATATGCGTGGTCAAAGCTTCCTTGAAGTTGGTTAGAGCTTCCTTCTTACCACTCTGACCCTTTCTGGTGGTTTTCAACTTCAAATGTTTCTATCTCTAAGGACCTGATGCTTTAGGAGTACCTACTAAGTACTAGATTCTGTGCTGCACCTTTCATGTGTTTTATTAGGTACCCATTATACCAGGTGCTATTTCTCATGATTCTGTCCCCACCTAGGGCTGTCTCTCAGGGTGAGGCTGGGCAGAGGTGGATTTGGAATAGGGGACAGGACTTTTAGCTTGCCTTCTGGCAACTTGCCCTGCCCATGGGCTGTGGTCCTTTGTGCCCCCCCACTACCATATGGCTGTGATCATAATAGAATGCTACTAACACCTTCCACCTCTGCACCACCGTGGCCCTTTGGAATCCATGCACAATGGAGAGCAGCTAGTTTGTCTGACTCCAGATCCTAGGGTGCTCTGGTCACCTCAGGATGCAGGGCCTCATCCACAGGACGCTGGGAAGGAAGCTGCCGCAAGGACAGATAGATGCCTGATGATGGTATCTTCTCTGGTCACTTTGTAGCCCAGTCTCCTCCTTTTGTTGCCCTGATTCACATCACATAATGGGTAGTCATTAGCAAAAAGGGCAGCCTGTTAACTTTCCTTTTGAGGTGTAGCATTCAAATCCTTCATTTGGTCAATTGAAGGAGGCTCAGCCCCATTGTTGAGTTCCAGGGAGTCAGCTGATCAGAGTATCCACTCTGTGCTGGGCCTTGGGGATAAAATGAGCAAAAACAGGGTCTTTGCCCTCAGAAGGCATATGGTCTGTTGGAGACAGGCCTTACTCAATAACCACTCACATGAATGTATAATCACAAGCTGTGCCAAGTGCTCTGACGGAGAGGGGTGCAGGTAAGGAGTTCTTGACATTTGGGGCCTGATGCCTAAAGTTCCAGATGCCCCCTGCCATTGGCAATTTGTACTTTAAATCCTTGTAGGCCCCAGGTATGAAAGGCCTATCCCAGAATTATCTCAAGTTGTGACACTTTTGTATAGCTGCAAGAGGAAGAGATCCATACCTTTCATTCCTAAAGCAAGATGTGAACAAGCTCTTTCAATTTCAATAAGAGATGCTAAAAAGCTTTCCAACATCAACACCCTTTATTAGAAAAGACAGGGTGCAGGGAACCGTTAAGCTTCAGGGGAAGTCCCATGTTATCTCTCCTTGAGGGGAGCAGTTTACTGTTAGGTCTTATCCTTTGATATGGCTTACCCCAATTCCAGTTACACAGTAGGTCTGCATCCAAACTCAGGCGTTGTGAGTTTCAAGCTTGGCTCCGTAACGCTTTCCACTTGCTGGGCTCGTCCTGTTCTGAAGGCTGGGGGCAGAAGCTGCACAGCTCACCTGGCTCAGCCTGGGTCGGGAGAAGCGGGCTTCCCATGCTGGTGCTTGTCAGGGGTGCAGGACTGGGAGCCTGGGCTGGGAGAGAGAAGTTGGGACAGATAGGCTCCAAAAGTGATGGGACCCTGGGCTTGCAGGAGGTGGCTGGCAGGACCAAGTGGGTGGCCTCGTGCCTGGCATCAAGGTGGGGCGCTCCCGGGCTCAGCTGCCACTGAAGGTGGAGGTGGAAGAGATCACTGTGCCTGAGGGCTTCCTCCGGAAGCTCAATGACCACCTGCTCCTGGTATACACTGGCAAGACACGCCTGGCCCGGAATCTGCTGCAGGTGAGCCCTGGCCTCAGGAGGAAGGTGGGAGGCAAATGGCTCAGCTGGGCTCAGATCCTCATTGCATTCCTCCTGCCCCATCTGCAGGATGTGCTGAGGAGCTGGTATGCCCGGCTGCCTGCTGTCGTGCAGAATGCCCACAGCCTGGTGCGGCACACCGAGGAGTGTGCAAAAGCCTTCCGCCAAGGTGAGGTGCTTCTTGCCTGGAGCTCAGGGCATCAGGAGTGAGTACCTTGTTGCCTGTGGGTCTGAGGCCAGGAGCCTTTGCAGGCCTGGCCCGGGCCCCGTGTAGGAGGCCCCTGGGGACAGAAGCCTACTGTCTGCCCTCCACAGGGTCTCACACTTAGGTGGGTGGGAGTCCTTTCTCAGGATAACACTTGCATCATGAGGGAGGCCTCCAGCCCCACCTACCAGGAAGCAGACTGGGGTGGAGGCTCAGCCTCTTGAGTTCTGGGGAGTCAGCTGATCAGGGTTCCATGTCTGTGTCTACATGATTGAACACTGTACTGGGCACTATGCCAGCTGCTCTATGCACTTTAGTCCTCAACCCTTGAGGTGGGCTTTATCACTCCTATTTCCAGCCAGCACTGGACCTAGGTTTTTCACCAGGACACTGGTTAAGTAGTGCTTCTTGGCACATTATTCAGTCCAGAAATAGGTGTTGAGTATTCCAGCTCAGGCACACCACTCCCTTCTCTGCCCCCCACCCAGGGAGCCTGCCTCTGCTGGGCCAGTGCCTGACCACTTACTGGGAGCAAAAGAAGCTCATGGCTCCAGGCTGTGAGCCCCTGGCTGTGCGGCGTATGATGGATGTCCTGGCCCCTCACGTGCATGGCCAGAGCCTGGCAGGGGCAGGTGGTGGAGGCTTTCTGTATCTGTTGACCAAGGAGCCGCAGCAAAAGGAGGCTCTGGAGGCTGTGCTGGCCAAGACTGAGGTACCTGGTGGTGCTGGGGGTGGTGATTGGTGGGGGACAGGAGCCCTCAGTGTGTCTCACCACTAAGCAGGGGCTACAGCTGCAAGTCTCCCTGATCACTTGCAGCACGAGACGTGGCCTGAGACTTGCCCAGAACCCTCTAAACACCTGTCCTTTGCTCCCAGGGTCTCGGGAACTACAGCGTCCACCTGGTAGAAGTGGACACTCAGGGCCTGAGCCTGCAGCTGCTGGGGAGTGAGACCTCAACCTGATGCCCCTTCCCAGGTTTGTCCTTCTGTAAGAGGAGAAAACCTGGAGCTGCAGCAGCCTCTCCCTTCTTTCCTCCATGGGAAGGTCAGCCTCTACTCTATGCCCACCCCTTTGTGAACCTTCTCCCAAAGGAAAACAGCCAACGTGAGCTTGGGCCCAGCCCTTTCTGGAGTTTGGTGAAACTGGTGGTGCCTGGGAATAGGACTGTACCTCCTGGTTGACTGTGGCCTAGGCTTGTCCTCTGGACATAGGAAAAGTCTCAAGCATAGTGTCCAATGTGGCCTTTACAAATCCATGGCCAGCCTTGGCCTTCTCACTCTCCATGAGGGCCTGGGAAGAGGAGGACAACCAGCTTTAGCACATGGCTGGGGTCCCCTGGTAAGGCCAATCCTGAAGAGGCTCTTTGAGGCATTTCCTGTGGCCTTCCTTGGAGGTCTGGCTTCTGCCTGAGAAGAGACTTCCTGTTCCACACTCACTCCCAGGCTGATTTGATGGGGGAGTGGGAACAGGGGTGGGGGTCTCTACTCTTGTTTGTGGTCATGAGCCAGTGCAAGTCACTGCTAATAGAGGCCTTAACTATTAACACTATGGACTATGCCACATGACCCAGTGTCTATGGACATTTGATTTCCAAAATTACAACCTTCTTGGAATAAATTCACTCTGTCCTTCAAGGTTGTCCTCCTAAAGCTTTTTTTTTGATCTTGTGAGGGGCAGTTCCCACTTGCCTTGGTACTGTGGGAAACCCCCTGGGACAATCCAGTTTCTGGTGCTGAGGGCCCAAGGAGGGGATGAGGGTCCAAGATTAGATGAGGTGCCTGCTTTCATGTGGGTACTGACTGGCTGTACGCCACTCTGGGTGCGGGAGGAGACTGAGGCTTTAAGCTTTTGTCTGCACATTTCAGTGCAACTGGTAGACCTGTCTTGCCCTATAGCATCCAACCCTCCCTGGAAATAGCACACTGGCATTATCACCAAGGAGTGTCTTTATTCAGCATGAGCATAAACATCATAGCCTCTCCTTGGGAGTAAACCTAATTCCCCAGGTCCCCAGATATACCCAAGTCCTTTAGGGCTGGCATGGAGGCAGCTCGTTTGCTGTAGTGTCTAAGGATGAGAGAATGACCACCCGTGCAGAAGGTTGGCCTGCCTTGGCTTTCCCATGTAGTTAAGAGCCCAGGGGGATTCATTTCTCCTGGTGGGGAGAGACTGCCTGCAAAGCACCACCGAGACAGGTCTGAGTGCAGACAGCAGAGTGAATTGAGCCTTGTTTCCTGCTGCCCGCAGTGGAACAGTCGGGCTGTCAGAGCTCCTCAAGCCAGACATCCTTGCTCAGCTTCTTGGCTGTGGCCACTTAGGGAATGGGCCCTGAAGTATGATGGACCAGGTGGGCTCCCCCTGGCAGCTACAGACGCAGCCTTTTGATGTCCTCGCTGCGGAAGTCCATGCGTAGAGCCAGCACCTGGCGTACTTCGGCAGGGGTGAGGCGCCATGTCAGTGGGCCAGAGTTGGCACCCCAGTAATCTAGGATCTCAGTGACCTGTGGGGAAGAACACAGAAAGTCAGCAATGAGAGGCTATCCTGAGAGAAGGCCTTGGGCTCCACCAGAGACAGAGCAGGGGTGCCCAGGAAGAAGGTGCTCTGCAGGGCTGGACTGATGGTGGAGGCTTGGTGTGAAGAGGTAGAGAGGGATCCAGATTTTGTTTCTGCCTCTTCCCAGTCACCTATCCCTTGCTAGGCCCGGAGAGCTGCACATACCCGCTCCAGATTGAGGATTGTGGCCATCTGGGAGAGCCGGGCAAACTTGTCTCGGATGGTCCAGGTGGTCACTGTGGTAAGGTAGGCAATGAGTGACCTCAGCTCCTTATCAAACTGCAGACCGCCCAACTGCAAGGGAACGCAAGCTCACTCAGTGTTCAAGGCCTGGCCCTCCAGCCACATGGAACCTGCCCCTAGTTTTCCTCAGTGATGGGCTGCAAGGCAGCTGGACCTCATGTGGTGCCTCAGTCAGCTCCAAGGCCTCAGAAGCCAGGGAAGGTTCGGGTCTGGATATGCAGGGCTTGCGGATGGCAGACAGAGGGAATGCAAGTCCTAGGGTGGCAGGACTTGTCTTCCTCAGAAGAAAAACAACAGAGCTGGGGACCCGTGCTTGCTGGACCTTACCCGGTTAAAGGTGGATTTCAGCACCACTCTCTCCAACTCAACGGCAACAAGGCTGGTCATGAGGCTGGTCAGGCTGTCATAGATGACTGGGGACAGGCTTGCCTGCACACAGACGCTAGACATTAGCGGGAGTACTACCTAAGCCGCTCTGCCTATATAGAACTCTTCAGTAGGGGGTGGTGGGCACAGTTACAGGAGGCCATCGGGGAGTGTGTCTACAGGCTGGGGCTTGGAAGAGTTTTCAGAGTTCCCAGTAGGAGTGTGATGAGAAGACAAAGGCTGTCGATTTGGGCAGAGGTGGGTAATTCCATAACCTGGTCCCTAGAGCCTCTGCTCACCTTGAACTCTGCCATTTGTTGCTCCAGGTTAAGGATGAACTGTTGTACCCAAGGATCATTAGCCTCATAGTCATTGAATTCTTCCTGTTGTCAAGAAACAAGCTGGGTCACTGGGGGCCTCTCCAAAAAGTACCATGCACCCCACCCTGCTTTCACCCCTTTAGGAAAACAGAGGAAGAGGTCTTGTAGCTTCTGACTCATTCAGCTAAAAAGCAGCATGGACGCCCAAGCCAGCATATACTGTTGCTACTGCTTTATCATACTTCTGATCAGCAAATGGCTCTGGGCTGCCAAAAATGTTCCTGTCAAAAATGACATCATTAGGCTAGAAAATAAAGCTCCGAAGTCTATCGTAGGTGGTACAGAAAGCCTCAATAAAAGAGGACATATCAGGTCATGGCAAACTCCCTTTAGGTGTCTCTCAGAGCCCTTCTAAGTGTAGGAACAACCTGCTTACTGGGAAGAACCTAGTCTTTGAGGGTGAGGGAAGTGGGCCAGAGAAGCATGTAAGGTCTGGTCTGTTGAGACAGCTCTGCTGCCCTCCAGCTGGGGGTTGGGAGAATGAGGGGTAATCCTGGGCCTGATGGCTGACCTCCTCGATGTTGTGGGAGACAGATAAGAAGGTGTTGATCCACGGCTGCACCTGTGGCTTGATGGCTGTGCTGTTTAACTCCGTCAGCCCTTCCTGCGGGACAAGGCAGAGATGCGTCAGTCACAAAAGGCACATGTACCTACCCCTTCCCTTCTGCTCCATCCATCCCTTGACCACCAGGGCACTCTTCCAGTTCGCAGGCTTTCCTGTGGGCCTATCCAAAGTCTAAAAGAGATAATGCTAATAAAAGAGGTCAGAAACAACATGTTCATTTCCAGATCTGTGCCAATTCAGGTCCAGGTCATGGGACTGGTTTGGCAAACCCAAAAGAAGAGACTTCTGAGTGCCTGGTACTAGGCAGCACCTTTGGTTAAGGCCAAGCAGTGGGTCCAAGTAACCAAGTGGTTCCATTTCCTCTGAGCACCTTTCTGGGCTCTTGGCACTGTGGGGGCCAAGTGGAGACTCAAGAGGACCAGAATGCTGGCTTGTCAGCATGACAACTGCTGAAAAATCTTCAGTCTTCAAGGGACTCACATGAGTTCAGTTTCTTGCATGCTACTCTCTCATTCCTCCTTGTTTCTTTATATATATGGAGCCCATAATAAACCAGTAACAATATGCTCAGAGCAACACTCAGGCACAGGATTCAGTCAGCAACTGATCCTGGGGCTTACCTGCAAGAGGTCTCGGAATTTGTTGGACACGGCAGCCAAGTCAGAAAGGCAGCTGTCAAATTTGGCCTGGGCCTGCTCCCCTCCAATGCCCTGGCTGAACAGCTTGGTGCAGTCACTCTAGGAGAGAACACCTAGCTATCAGGCTTCCCAGCATGGATGGGCCATGTGGGTGCCTGGAGGGTGAAGAGGATGCCCCATGTACAACCAGCCATTTCTCCAACTTCAGCTTTCTCTAAGAGCAGCTATGGTTGATCCTAGGCAACAGTCCTCGAGAGGTTTCAGAAAACAAGTGGCTAGCCACTTGACTCCCATTTCCCCCTTTGTAATATGAGAGTATTGGTAACAGGGGGTGTGAATAAGAAACACAAAAACCAGAAATTTTTCATACCTTTAGAGTCAGACATTCCTAGCTTCAAATCCTGGCTTAGCTACATATTGACTGAGTGACCTTGGTCAAGTGATTTAAAGCTTCTGAGCTTCAATTTCCCTGTTTAAAAAGTGGGAACACCAATCCTTGTCCCCATGGTAGTTGGAAGAGTTGAATGCACAAAGTGCTTAGCTCAGTTCCTGTCAAGTAGTAGACACTAAGGAGATGCTAGCTTTTATTATAGGTTCTGTTTTTTAAATAATTTGGTCTGGCTGCCCAAGGGAGATCATCATGATCACAGCTAAGATTTAAATGCTTACTGTATGCCAGGCCCTGTTTAAAGCATTTAACTTTTTTTTTTTTAATGTTTTTAAAAAATTTTTTTTAAACGTTTATTTATTTTTGAGACAGAGAGAGACAGAGCATGAATGGGGGAGGGTCAGAGAGAGAGAGAGAGAGACACAGAATCTGAAACAGGCTCCAGGCTCCGAGCTGTCAGCACAGAGCCCGACGCGGGGCTCGAACTCACGGACCGCGAGATCATGACCTGAGCCGAAGTCAGCCGCTTAAACGACTGGGCCACCCAGGCGCCCCTAAAGCATTTAACTTTTATTAATTAAAGTACCTACCTTATGAAGTAGGTACTATTCCTACCCCTTTGTATAGATGAGGAAACTGAGACACAGGGAAGTTAATAATTTATCTAACACCACACAACAATTAAGTCATGGAGCTAGGATTCAAGCTGGGATTCTGGCTCCAGAGTTCCTGTTCCCAATCCCCACACGATAGCCTAGGAGTAGAGAATGCACAGGGGGAGCTGCTTGAAACTCACCACATTTTGGTTTGCCAGGAACTGCCTGAATTTCTTGTAGTCTCCCTAGAAGTTTGTGCTGTTTTGGCCACAGCAGGAGGAGCAGTGTGGAAGAGTTGCAAAGGGACTGATACAGCAGGCAGAAGCCCTCAGTTACACAGCAGCTACAATATACACTATCTTTACCTAGCCTTTTAAACTCATCTGTAAAATGGACATCACATCACCTGACCTATCTCAAAGGGCTGCTAGTGGGATTCAGAAAGAATACCTGCGAATGCAATCTAAGTTGGGTAGAATTTATGGCAATTGTTTTTTTCAGCTCTTTGCTATCCTTTTTTTACTTGGCTAATTCTACAGGCTCAGTTCTCAATTTCTAACATTTCCCAAAATATTCCTTCAAAATCCAATATTCGAACGTAAAGGATAAAGTCTGGAATACAATCTAAGGTGACATGACTTAACAATAACAGCCACTCTGCTGAACACATACCATGTGACAGATCCTGTGCTTTTGGTACTTTGTAAGTAGCACTCTTACTTTATTCCATTTTAAGGCCTTTTTGGTGTAAGTTCCTCATCTGGTCCGGTTTTCAGTACTACTGTAAACTCCCACCTGACTGCTCTCCCTGCGCCTCCTTTAGGAAGCCCGCCAGTTACAAGGCCTTCTCCCCTGTGCTGGGTCCTGGCCTCTGCAGGCTGCTCAGCCCTAGAGCTGCCACTTATCATCAGCCTGTGCCTCTGCAGCACTGTATCTTCCTTGAAATAAGGGTCTGCTGAGGCAGCAGGACCCCGGCTTCCCTCCTCTCCCAGAGGCAGAGTTTGAGACTAGAACAGAGTTGGGCTCTTCGTTTTCTAACACTTAACAAAAGTGATTGCTCCATGCTGCTATTTATAACTGTTAATACAATTATGAACTACCACCGCATGCGTCTCACATAGCTCATGTTTTATATTACTACATTCATTTTTCACAACTCTGCGAGGCAGAGATCATTCTTCCTGTTTATACATGAAGATGCTGAGGCTCAGGGAGGTGGAGAACTTGCCTCATGCCACACAGCTGGTCAGTGGTCCAGCAGAGACACGAACTTAGGGGGATCTGACTTCTAAGCCCAATCAATTTCCAACACACTACGCAGCCTTCCTTTAAAAAAATGGTAACTGCAACAGCTTTGTACAGGGTTTGGCAAACCCTATTTCATCTTAATTTCCTAACATTTTTTTGAGGACTTTATCATTTTTTTAAGTGCTTTCAACCCTTTTTTAGTTAGGCCCCCCAGTAAACCCTAATTAGGGCAGGAAGAAGATCTGTTTTGTAGATGAGAGTCCCCAAGCTCAGGGAGCTAAGGGACTTATCTGAGGTCACAGGCCAAGTATGTGCCACAAGTGCTAATTTAAATCCTCATCTTCCAGCTTGTGGGTCAGAGGTCCTCCCATGTTGATCCCCTCAAGTGCTCTAAAGGAAGGCTGGCTCAATGCCAGCGAATGCACAGGCCCTACCAGAACAAGCGTGTAGGAACCCCTCTCACAGGGAGGCCTGGAGAGGCTGCAGCTACTGAAAACTGATAGGCAATTTTCTTCATACCTCCAGAGTCTTCTTCAATGTGGAGATGTTCTCACTGCAGACTTCCACGTTGTTCAGGGTCACCTGGGAGGTAAGGACAGAGAATGTGACCCACTGCTCACTGGTGTTTGTACCCACTCCAGTGCCAGACTGGCTGACAGCTGTAATCTTGAGGCCCAGAGGAGGGCTAAGGAACACCCACAGCAATGGCATCAGGTATGGTGCTCAGGTCTTGGATTGGGCAGAATAGTGAACCGGGCTTGCCCTTTCTCCTGTGCCTGACATTAAGGCAGGACAGTCATCTGATCTTAGGGGTAGTGACCCAAGGTTTCAGATCTTTTTGCTCCATGTTTCGGCACACAGATCTGGGAGAAGTCCTGTGACTTAAAGCCCAGGTCAGTGAGGCAAAGACTGACATTCATTTAAGAAATGCTTCCTGGGGCGCCTGGGTGGCTCAGTCAGTTAAGTGTCTGACTTTGGCTCAGGTCATGACCTCATGGTTTCTGAGTTCGAGCCCCGCGTCAGGCTCTGTGCTGACAAGCTCGGAGCCTGGAGCCTGCTTCAGATTCTGTGTCTCCTTCTCTCTCTGCCTCTCCCCGGCTCACGTCTGTCTCTGTCTCTCTCAAAGATAAGTAAATATTAAAAAAAATTAAAAAAAAAATGCTTCCTGAAATCCACCCTCTCATAGGGTCCACAATTCCAGAAGGGAAGTCAGGTAAGAAATATCAGATAAAGATAAACACCATGCAGAAAAATAAAGTAGGGTGAGTGGACAGAAAGTGACAGGCCACAGGGCTAAAGCCAGGAATAGAGTCAGGTCTCCCTCCTCTCAGCCAAGAGCTCCTTCTTTCATAACTCTAATGCCTTATAAGCTTGATACAGAAATACCAATCATAAAAAGCAGCATGTTGCAAAAGTGATGATGAAGGCACCAACTGCTATGGTCATTTAGAGGAAAGAAACATTTTGCTCTAAGGCATTCAAGGAAAGCTCCATGGCTGAATTGTAACTGAGATGAACTTTATTCAGATCAAAAAGTCTGGAGTAATTCTGACAGATGAGGGTGAGTACATTTCTCCACTCCTATCAGTCTTTCTATAGGGCACTGTCCTGTTTGCTATTTTCTTAATGGTATTTAGGATTATCCAGTATCATTTTGTTTGTTTCTTGTTTGCCTTTCCCACTAGAATGAGGGCTCCATGAAGGCAGGGATCTATTCTGTTCTCTTTAGAACTGGATCTTTAGTTTTAACACTGCCCAAAAGAACTTTCTTGATGATGGAAATATTCTAAATCTGAACTGTCCAGTATAGTAGCCCCTAGTCATCTATGGCTACTGAGCATTTGAAATGTGGTTAGTGCAACTCAGGACCTGGATTTTTGGTTTAAACTTAAATTTAAATAGCCACCTCTGCCTACTGGCTACCCTATTGGGCAATGTAGCTCCAGAACCTAGAACAGTGCCTGATATATAAAAGTTTCTCAAATAAATATCTGTTGACTGAATGAGTAAATAAATGTGTTCTGAAGAAGGGAGAACATACACAGTTGCAGAGTGGCAGAAAACCCCAAAAAGTATTTGGGAATAAGCAGAGTCAGTACACGGATATGTGCAGAAAAACAGCAAGAGTTTGTAAAGCTGCAGAGGCGAGTGCAGTCAGACTGGGACTTGGGTGCTATGCTCTCCTGTGGACAACGGGTTGGCACTGAGGGTTATGTAAAACAGGTGAATGCCATACGAGCACAGCTGTGGCTTCAGAATACTAAGTATTACTTCTAGAGGCTGTGCAGAGCAGGAATCAGAAAGTATGAGAGGATCATACTGTCTCTGAACTGGTGTGCTGGTGGCATGACCATGAAGGCAGGGATGAGGTAGGGAGGAGCCTATTTTCAAAAAGATGAGTCAGGAACTTTAGGATTTCAGAGTAAAAGAAGAATTCGAGAACCCCAGGGATTGAGACTAGGATGGCCCTCTTGTGTTCCCTAGAGTGCTTCCCTCACCAGTGTCCTGCAGCTAATCGTGAAAGATCATGCTGCTGACAGTGCTGCTAAGGCCACTTCCATCGGGGAGGGATAAGACTTAAAGCCTTTCATTAGCATGCCACAACACAAGGCTGCTAACATCACAAGCTTCCAGAGAAATAAGTGTACTGTGATGACAGCTCAAGGATGAGGGCCACAACTTAAATGTTTCCAAAGCATTTAGGGGCATAAGAAAAATCTATCATAAAGGGAAAATGGATTTGGGTTCAGGAGGTATCGATTTCAAAGCTTCCTTGTACTGACAGTCCTTGTAAGCATGGATTCACTGGGCTTATCCCCGGCTCATGGCGAATGATATGTCAACACCATTGGGGAATTCATCTTGAAAGCCAAATGAATCAAGGTGACATAAGAAATGAGTGCTGCAGTGGGAGCGATGACATTTTAAGTACTTGGCGTCAGGAAAACTAGAAATCTGTCACTAACCATTTAGCATCACCTTTCATGTTGGCCTTATCTTTTGGGCCCTCAAACAATGAAGCTGTGCATGGCAGCCGAGAATGTGCAAAAGCACAGCAGCCAGTGTAATGGGGACTTGTGGGGCCAAGTGGAGGAAAATATCCTGCGCTAGAGGGGTAGGATAAGTGAGGCTCAGAGGCTGTCAACAAACCACCAAGCAAAGATGCAAAGCTAGGAGTCGTTTCTGAGTAGAGAAATGAAAGAATAAAATTAAGTTCCGTAGAAAATGAAATAACAGAATGCAAACAAAATGAAAAATTTAAGTCAGTTCATGATCAAATGAAGCTGGTTGCCAAACATTTTGGCAAAGGTCTCCAAAGGTGTATTTCAGAGGTAATAATTTCTTGGAGCTGATCCTCTTTTTTGGCAACAACCAGGACATTCCAGATCAACAGAACCCATGCTCAGGGAAAATATTTTCAGTGACAGGAAGTGAGTGAGGCTGCCTAAACAGCAGTCTGAGGACCAGTTCCTATGGGTTTCCTTGCACAGGTAGGTAGATACTGGTATGGTTAGGCTTCTGTCTCTGAGAATAACAGCTGTTAACACTTTTGGGATCACAGACCTTTTAAGAATCTGATAAAAGCCAAGGACCCTGCTTCTAGGAAAAAAAAAAGTATACATTTAGCATCCAACCCCAAGGTGTTTAGAGACCTCCATCTGTGGACCACTGATGGAGAGCTCTGCTATTGGATGTCTCCTTCAGGCTCTGTACCCCAGGAGCCAAGATGGCTCTGGCCAATGTGGGGGTGAAGCGGAATGCCAACACAGCACATGCCAGAAAGGGCTGAGCCAGAATACAGCTGTATTCTTTTTGGCTCATCACAAACTGGCTGTTAACCTTGTATAAATCCCTTCATCCTTTCATGTTTCTTTCTTCCCAGCTATCACACACCTGGTAAGACTCACTGCTTCATTTTGTGTCATTCTGGGTAGCTAAGGGCTTTAAAAAAGGTCATCTTTCTGAGGATGTTGAAAGCCTAAGAAGTTTGCTAGGAAAAGAGCCCTGGTAGGTCTAAATGATCAGTCCCCACCCATGTTGTGGGACTGGCCTTACAGAAGTGGTCTGGAAGCTTGGCACAGATATTACAGTTGGCTCTGTAGCAGGTGCAAACCAAGCATGATACTGAGTGGAACCCCTCAACAGCTTCGTAGTCCTCTTGGGAATGAGCACTTGGGAGAGCTGAGTTGCAAGGTGCCCAGCCTTCTAGGCAAGGAAC